ATTTTCAAAGCCCACTTTTTTCATTATGTGCCCTAGAAGTTTCAACTGTTTCTTCCTACTGTTAAATATAAGTATCCTTTTTGTTTCCATTTTCTCTAAAACTCCGTCGTTGCTCACATGTTCGATCCATAGTTTTCTCAGCATTCTTCTGTAGAATCACATTTCTGTTGCTTCAAGTCTCTTCACTTGTGATTGTCAAACATTCACTGCCATATACAAGAACTGATATTACGTAACAATTCAATATTCTTTTCTTTGTTTCTAACGATGTTTTTCTGTTTCTTAATACTTTGCTTAGCTTTTGGAAGGCAGCTTTCACTATCACAATGTGACTTTGGATATTAGTGTCGCATTTTCCGTCCTCTTTTAAATCACTTCCCATTTTAGGAGCTTTAGAAGCTAATGTTTCTAGAGAGAGAAAAAGGAAAAATAAAGATGAATTTCTATGTGAATATATGGGATGAGGAGTTACCTGCACTACTTACATTTGAACTATTGTCCTCATGTTTTGGCTACTGTGCACTCTGTCCTTTATCAGATGTATATCGATCCGTATAACATACAGGAAATTCTAAACTCTTTATTTCATCTACGTGGGTAGACTGTTCTCATTCCACTGCCCATGTCTCGGTATATCTCGTCTAGTTCTTATTTTTAGTACTGCCCAGTTATTGGTCGCCCTGTTTCCACTCGATCCAAGTACACACTGCCCGGGACAGGAACTGAGCTCACAATTACTATGTCATCACATTCACGAACTAACGCTTTAATCCAATAAGTTATTGTCCCGTAGTATTCCCTGTACTATTACCGGTCGATATGCATCTGATGATGGTCAGGATGCACAATTAAGTTAAAAGGAAATAACTGAGACATCCGTCTATATCTCTGAGATGAGATATTATGATTACTCACATTATTTCCATTATCCGGACTGTTATCTTTATTGCCATATTCACAACGTTTCGGCCGTTGTACGCTCTGCCCTTCTTCAGGTGATTAGAATTTCGAATCGGACCCTTTATTTCATCCACTGGGGTAGATTGTTCTAGTTCCACGTGTCGTGTCTCTTCCGGATGTTTCAGTTATGTCCCTTTAACTCAACTCTCCTATTTGGTTCACCACTGCTGGTATTGAACACACAACTCTTTGGGTCTAGTCACTGGATTTAACCAACGTCTTTATCCACTGGAGGACTCTTGTGTTGCATTCAAACATTCTTTTAACACTTGTACGTATCTCTTCTTTGTTACGCATGCTCTGTGATCTAAATTGCCTAAACGAACACACATTAAGCGCACACTCTATTCAAAATATGGTCAGTCATACAGAGCGATAATTATAGGCAGATATATTTGTGAAATATCTACATCTACGATGATATAAAGGTTACTGCGTAGCTTCAGCGCTTCATCTTTTGCTAGAAATGAAAACTAAACAGAAAATTAAGTTTGTCTTCTTGACATCAATAACATTTATAAAGATATGGAGCTGGTGAAATTTGTCAAAATCATTACTACCGTTAATTTTCTTTCTCTTTCCTTCTCCCTCCATGTCTCTCTCTTTCTCACACGCACACATACACACACTTTCCGTATTGAGAGGTGTGTTGGGAGGAGTATATTTATTGTGCTTCTTTATATATCACCCTCTTAAAAGGATCTTATAATCACGTTATCATACCTGGCGTGTAAATTTCTAAAATATAAATCTCACATCAGGTAAAAAAACACTTTCTTCCCACACTGTCAGCTTATTTTCCCCTCCTCCAACTGAAAGTTTTATCTTTAACAAATCTACAATCGCTCGGCAGTCATCTGCTTCCCAGCTGTTATCACAATACTGGAATTACCGAGACACGTTTAAATGTTCGCGCATTTTAAAATCTGTTTTAAAAGTTTGCTGACAGTCTTTTTTTACAATTACCAATAATTTGAATTTAAAGTTCATAACTAGAATTCTAGATTTCATTGCAAGTCTATTATGCTTACGTCAAGTTATCAATAAATCCTGTTCTATTTTTTGATTGCTATGCAAGTACAAATTACCGTCCCAAAATAAATAAGATCGGTAATTTATAAACCTTTTTGACAGGAGTACGTCAACAACATATCAAAATATAAGCTTTCAATGATGTGCTTAAAACAGTTCATTTGATATTTCCGGTTCAAGTATCATACTATCTATCCAGATGAAAGCAAAAAGAAAATCTAAGTATCATGTTGTTCTACACATAGCGTCCATGCATAACACACAAGTGATGATTTGCTCTGCACACAGCGAAACATATTGTCGCAAATTGCCGACATGTTGGACTCGTTATTCGCAATCACTGCAAAAAATTAGGATAATTCTCGGTCCAGCACATGATAATTAGTGACAAAGTATCCATGTTATACAAATGTGCCTGAGAAAACTGATGATTATACTTCTTTTCTTTTTTTTTTTTTTTTGATAAAGTTGAAGATAATGTAAATATATTTGTGACCGTATTTGCCATTGTGGCTGTAAGCAAATATGGACGAAAACAAAGATATAAACAGTGTGGCACTAAACAGATATAGACAAAAAAAATTTTAATAGAATTGATGGTCGCCCTGCCGTAGATCGAAGGATAATTAACTAGTCGGGCAGAACTGTTTCAAGGAGATAAAAAATCTATAAAAAATTAGTAAAAAATATTTTTAAATCTATGCAATAAAAAAAAATATTCCAGTCTATGCTTAACTTTATATTCAAATGTTTAGTCTTTTCTCACAGTTGATAAAGGTTTTACAAATTAAAAAATGTCATCAGTAAATTTAATCATCGTAATATATACATGTGAATATACATACCCGCACACACACACACACACACACACACACACATATATATATATATATATATATATATATATATATATATATATATATATATATATTGATGTATGTGTGCCTAACAGTTCATTTTTAAAAACTGAATCGCCATATTACCCACACGTGATTTCATTATAGTTGTGAAGTTCTATAAACCAGGCAAACTTTTCAAAAGAACTCTCTTCAAACAGCTTTTCTTATGATTTGAATTCAGAGTATTTTTTCCTAGATTGGTTGTCTGCCAAGGCTAATGAACCCAGTCTTCTCTTCTATGGTTTGATGAAGAGAGATGCATCCATACCACTTGCACAGGTATTTTGCGAAAGTGAACGTAATGAACTTGAAGGAAATTCGTACTTGTCTCGCCGACTCACTATATATATATATATATATATATATATATATATATATATATATATATATATATATATATATATATAGTCGGGTGAGCAATGTAGAGGTCATAACTATAAATAAATCTAACCTGTTAATATACATGCTTTCTCCAACCAGTAGAAATAAGCAATCAAGAGATCATGTCTGTAAATCAACTAATGAAAACAAAGTGGAAATGTCAGGTTTCTTCTGCCACTTACCTTAATCTGTGGCCTACATACCTAACACGCTGAACATCGATTTAAAACTGATAGTGTTGATTCCCATATTCACACACGTGGGAGCTTATGCGTGTGTTAAATACGATTTTCTATTGCTCTGTAGTTATACTTTTGCACTGAGCACTTTTTTTTACAAAGTCGACAGAAAAATTCCAGTGGGATTTTCTTCTTTTTTTTTCATCAATGTTTATTTCTTACATTTTTCACATACATATATGACAGATAATCACTATATCAGGTCAACAGATAAAAAGTTGAATGAGCTCGGATATATTGCGCATGTATATACACAGTACGTTTAAATATTTTAAAACAATTAAATTTAAAACTAAGCGTTTTCAATGTAAAATTGTAACTGGGACTCGTTGTATTTTCCTCCACAAAACTGACTCCATCGACAAAACCATTGTTAGTTTTAAGAACTCCCATCTAGTGACGAAATGCGTAACATAAGATTATTTTACCTTTTATCATTCAATTAGCCACACACTTTCACTCGCGCGTACGCGTCGTGTGCGCGTTTAACAAGCACTGACATTTATCTTATGCTACATAGATGGTCAAGTTCATCACACACTTCATTTCTATTGAATTCTATATTTGTCAGGTGCTAAGTCAATGTGCCTTTATCCCAGCTTATACTATTTACTCTCTCTTTCTCTCTCTCTCTCTCTCTCTTTCACACACACACACACACATTATAAACATGCTCGCGACTATTAATAGTCGCGTGCAATCGTTCTATCGATCTATGTTACCATTGTTTCGGAAGATAGGACACACAACAGTACCTTACAATATACAATGTTAACAAATAAACAATGCATGACTGACAGTTTCTTGCTTTAAATATCATAATCAGTTTTTATACCGATCAAAGCGAGAAACTGACTACTGATCTATATGGCCATACTATATATATATATATATATATATATATATATATATATATATATATATGTATGTATTCATGTATGTATATGTATATGTGTGTGTGTGTGTGTGTGTGTGTGTGTGTGTGTGTGTGTGTGTGTGTGTAAATATAGAACTGTTATCGGCCAAAGTTGAATTAGACCAGGAAACAGTTTATTAAAAAGTATAAAGATTTTACTTCTATTAACCCTCACGTTGTGTGTTTATATATATAAATAATAAAGTTTTAGTAAATCATTTGGTGTATATCGCCTGAGGATACTGAATGATTGAAACCAAGGCAGGGTGATTGGTTGATCTCTTTTGTCTAAAAATATATACGTCTAAATTCACCTTCATCCCCGCCGTGCGCCAATGGCTTAGGGGTAAAATCTCCGACTGATACTTGAGGCAATCGGATAAAACAGCGAAATAGTCTATCTGTGGATGACAATACATACATATATATATATATATATATATATATATATATATATATATATATATATATATATATATATATCAGTGAATATATTTGTAATGTGATGCTTGATGCTCAAAGGGAGAGATCGATTGATACATAAATATGAACTATTTGACGCAGTATAATCACTTACTGATAGATAGATAGATAGATAGATAGATAGATAACTTCACAGGCTGAAAGTAACTGATAAAAAGAAAATCGAGAAAACACAAGTAATAAATTGACGAACAGACGCCAATCTGAATGCAAACATATAGACATCCAAAACCATTTGATAAAACTGTCTAAAACAAACGATGGGCATTAAAAGCAAGATATTTAACAGACACATAGAAAAGCAAGGAATTAAGCAAACGTTTCACCAGACACACAGACATAAGCCGCCCGACAAGGGGAAATCAGAACAATGATAATAAAAATAAACTTTTATTTCTTCTTTTTTATTTCTTATAACTAAAATATATGATGGGAACCGTTGTAATTATTTCTTAGTCGTTTAAGAAAACATGTGCTTTTCAGATCAAATACAGGTTTGTTCTACTTCATCATTCTTTCTCTGAACATATTTTGAATGCACTTCATAAATTACACTTCGTTAAAAATCTAGCACTCAAATGATGACCAAATAGAAAAAGCAGAATAAAATAAATAAAGCGAAATAATACTAGTTGATTGGTCAAAGGATTGATGGACCAATAATAATCATGATATATATTGGATTTTTTTTCAACGTTTGCAATTATTATTATCATTCTAATTACAAGAATCACAACACCAATAATAAAAAAAATCTAATATTCATATATTTATAAACACAAACAAATACATTCAGAAAAACGCGCATGAGCACGCAATAGGAGGCCATAATTATAGATAATACTTGTTTACTATAAAAATTATAGGTATGTTCGGTTTTCTGAAATCATTAATAAAACATTATGTAAACTATTTTCTCTTGTTCAATTTATAATACTTTTTTCTATATTATTTGCGTTATTCTTAACTTCGTATTTCTTTATTTTTATTGAATCATTTTTCTTCATTATTTCTTTCAATATTATTTTGTTTTTCTTGTTTTATCTCACCCTGAAGTTATTTGCTTGCATTTATTTTAATTTACTTTTTTCCTTCCTTTCTTTCCCATAATATGTTCTTTTTTTTTTTTTTTTTTTTTTTGTCTCATTCTCACAATTATTTTTAAGTTCTCACTTCTTTTCATATCGGTCATCCATTTTGTTTTGACTCCTCTCCCTCTTTCTCGTGCATATATTTTTATTGCTAGTGACGTTCCAGCCATTTTTCCGACCGGCAAGAAAATTTCAAATATTCATACATCCCAGAGAGGAGAGTTCTATTTTAAGATCAGATAATTTATAACTTCAAAATTCCACCTTGTTACACAGTCCATCCCCAAACGACTTTGACGACTGGCATTTTTCTTAATTCCTAATTTCAAGTCTATTTTCTGAAAACACTTCTCTTTAATTCCTTCGTGCATATATTAAATTTGACAATCATCAATAGGTAACGTACTACCTATTTCTAAAATTAATATCAATGTTCTTGTTCTTTCCTGGGAAAATATTTGGCTGTTTCATAAAAGATGTGTGCATGCATGTTACGTTAATTTATAGCCATGTACGTTTTCCAAAATGCTTATTTTTCTCATGAAATAAGTATTATACCTACTTACCAGTTATGGATTACAATGCCCAGCTTTATATGCAACAATGATCTTTGTTACCCGCTTGATTGCATTCAAAGCACATCAAATATAGTATACTGTAATATCCATTACGGCCAGTTTTAACATTAGCTTCCTATAGTGATTAAAAAAAAATAATATCAATGTACATTTTATCATCAGTTGGAGTAAGTAATCTGATAGATGGAAGTGTTTCGAAATTATAAACCCTCCGATTCAGAAAATATTTCACCATAATTTTTAACGGTTATTATAGAAAAAAGGCTTGTCTATTATTTATTGCATCCAAATAAGCATCTTGTAGATTTCCTTGAAAATTCAGAATACGTTTTCCAAATCTAAATTTCATCATAGTGATTTGAACCTCTAGTAATAGTAAAGGTGAAATTATCCATTTCCATACAATAACCATTCGACATTCATTGACTTCTCAAGTCTGTTGTTAACGCTAATTCTTGTATCAATGGAAGTTTTCTTCAATGTTTTTGCTTTTTGGTAATGTGGAAACATTTTGAGGACATCAGCGTTTCTCTTTTAGTTGCTTGTGTTACTCTTTTTTTTTTTTAATGTTCTCTAAAACTATTAAATACTTTTAACACCTGCGTACTTATCTCTGCTATTAAAGTTGATATTTTCTATGACTGAATTTCATAACTTTCGGTTTAATTTCAAAACAAGGCCACCAGTCGTTTCAACTACGTTATTTTTTAACATCCCTACCAGAATGACACCATAAATAAACGCCACCGCTGAAGCTTCTTGGAAGGGTCTTTTGGATATACTGACATCAAACCAGATATCTTTATATTTAATATAAATGGTGTTTTCTAAATCATTCATTTTTCCATTACATTCTTCCCCTGTGATCGCATATCTTAATTGTTAACACGGATTTGGAGGGTGAATTGAAATAAATCCTGTGATGAACCAATTTACAGCATTTTTTGTTTGTTTGTTTGTCTTAGACCGTCTACCACACATTAATATGAATTGATCGAGATCAGAGCCAATATTTTTACAACATTTCTTTTTCGTATACTTCACTTTACGTAACTTTGCTAAACTCAATAATTACCATCTTAAATGCCAATTATCTCACTCTATGAACAAACATTTTTCCACTCAGCACAAAACACCTTAAGGAAACAATAGCTAAGAAGAGATCTTTATTAGAGTTAGATTTACTTAATCCAGCACAAATCAAGTCGAGGTAACATGCAGGTAAGAAAATGGCGTTGTGCCAATCATCCGAGTAGAGAGAATCCGTCTGCCTTGAAGAATAGCATTCGGTATTTCGGCTTTTACAAGAATTTGAATATCATTTCATTGGTGACAGTGTGAAATATAAATACACTAGCCACCAGGTAGGGTTTGTATTATCTAATTATTCACAGAGATGTTAGCTATTATTACCTGAAGATTTGATTAATTGGAAGATATTCATACAATAAAATCACAGATAGGAAATTTCTGATAAGAAAAATTTTGAAATGGAATTTTACCTTGTTTTTAGTCTCCAAATTCCGACGATTTTATGCAAATACCTTTTGTTCGCTTTTTGTTTTTTTAACTTTCTGGTAAAATATGTGAAGATTTGATTAAAGACGTAGTGATAAGTACGTGTTTAAATGTTTGAAGTTGTTTTGTTCAAACTTTTGTTTACTATGGCTGATGTTCCCATTTGATAATGAATTTTATTTTTATTTGTTTTATATTTTTGATTGGATAAGAAATAAATTGTCTCATGAAGTCATGTTATTGTTTATGATTTAATCTCTTTTAAAAAATTATTTTACTTTTTTTTTTTTTTTTTTTTTTGCTTCACTCAAACTTTCATTTTAATAGCGTCCCCCGAAAAACAAAAAGAAAATAAAACACATCTACAAATAGAGAATAGAGGAAGTAAGTTTGGAGAGAGAGAGAAAAAAAAACAAATAGAGAGAGAAAGAGTATTAAACTGTGGTAAGAAGTTACGATGACAGAGGTTGAAAAATGGGCCATAATTTTAATTTTCATAATGAAGGTGTCTGTTACAAGTTTTGTTCTCAGAAAAGGCTAAGATACACAGAGTAATAGAATAGAATTCTAGTTCAGCATCTATTTCTATGAAAATAATAAATACTAAATTGAATACAATAAATACGTTTCTATTATCGGCAAACACTGAGAATCTTGCCACTTTGCTTTAATGCCTAATATACTGTTGTTGTTTTTTTTTTTTTTTTTTTTCTATTAATTCACCCCGAAATATTAATTCACCCCAAAATAAAAAGAAATTATATATTTACTAAAAATCCACAGCAAATTCTCCCAGAGCGAGGTCCTTCCATTGCACTTCGGTGGTGTTGAACCTTACTATCGCCACAGATGTGGGTGACTCGGGTGCGCTATTTCTAAGTGTGGGGTCTGCTTTCGCGCTCACCCAGATAGACAAGCCCAAAGCAGATTTTTTTTTCTTCTTTGTTTTAAATTGTAAAGATTTCCTTGTAAGTACCTCGAACTTCATCTGCCCTTATGAAATGTGAATGACTTCCTGATTTTTGATAATCTTTCATTCCGTGGATTGGAGTTGCTGCGAGGCAAGCTAAATAAAATTTGGTTTAAAATGTATAATTTCAAAAGATTACCAAAAATTTAATAAAAAAGTAAACACACTTTGATTTAAAATTTATAATTTCTTGAGGTAAATTAATATTTACGATAAGTGAATTTACATTATTTGGGGTGAATTAACAGAAAAGATCCTCGTTGTTGATTATTGATAAAAGGGCAGAAAGAATATACTATAAGACAGTTCCAACATTTACAAAACAAATACATTCAGATTTTCATGGCTCCCAACGAATGACATTTCAAGACCAAGCCATTATAAAGACATAAATCCTTTTTTTTCTTTGTCCTATTAACGTTGTCTTACAAGAAATGGAACATACTATCTTTCCTGTGATTAAACATCTTTTAGTGTGAAAATAATTCTCAGAATATGCGTGGTTTTTCAAAATTAACGACACCAAAAGCAAAAAGGTCAATGTGAAGGTGTGCAGCCGAATTATACGATTTCTATTCGTTCTTTCTCATACAGACCCCAAAAGAGTCAGATAAGGAGACAAACAGACAGACAGCTGAAATTCGTAAATCTGCTTCTGATAAGACGAATATAGTGCAAGACAGTCATGTTTTGATATTTTATCTCAATATTAGATGTGGAAAGAAAGAAAGTTACAGTACAAAACACTGTTGTTTTCTAAATGCTATCTAAGACGAATTGTCCAAAACCGACAAATATCAAAAAAATTATTTAAAAAAAAACAATGCAGAATAAAAAGCGCGAATTATCAGATGCTTTCTCATAAAAAATTATCATTTCACTAAACATCAATCTCAACACAAATGGATATTAATATTTACCTGTTTTTAACCAACGACAACGCAGATGTTTTTTATGCAGAAATCCAACAGATACAAATATCATTCTAACTCTTTATGTGCGCTGATTTGCTAGCTTTTGACATTAACGCTATATTTTTGTTTAACCCATAAATACTTTTATCATAAATTCTAAATTTCAATGTTATATTACTGACCAAGATCAATAATATTTTCTACAGTTTTATGAAAATGAACAAACAAAAATGAAAGTGCGAGAGAGAAAGAAAGCGATAGAGAGAGAAAAAAGACAGAGAGAGAAAAAGAAGAGAGAAAAACGTGAGAGAAAGAACGCGAGAAAAAAAGGAAGAGATATAACGTGAGAAAGAGAGAGAGAGAGTGAGAGAAAGTATGGGAGGGACAAAGTGAAAGAGAGAGAGAGAAAATGAGGGAGGGATAAAGTGAGAAAGGGAGAGAGAGAAAGTGAGAGATGGAAAGTGAGACAGAGTGAAAGTTAGCGAGAGAAAGTGAGCGAAAGAGAAAGAGAACGAGACGGAGAGTGAGAGAAAATGAGTGAAAGGGAGAGGAAGAGAAAGTGGGCGAGAGAGGGAGAGAGAGAGAGAGGGAGAGAAAGTGAGAAAGAAAGTGAGAAAGAAAGTGAGCGAGAGGGCGAATGCGAGAAAGTTAACGAGAGAGAAAAAGAGAGCGTGAGAAACAGAGAAAGTGAGAGAAAGTGAGCGAGAAAGAAAAAGCGAACGAGAGAGAAAAAGCGAGCGAGAGAGAGAGAGAGAGAAAGTGAGCAAGAGAGAGAGAGAGTGAGAGAAAGTGAACGAAAGGCAGAGAAGAAATTGTTTAAGAAGTGGAATTAAAGTATTAAAGAAATTATCTTTCAGAAATGTTATTCAACTGTGAATTTTGTTATATATTATCATATATAACAATTACCAACAAAAATATTTGAAGAGTTTTTCTATATATCAACATATTTTTAATGTCATGTCTCTTAAAGACAGTAGGTGATCAGGACTCTCCAAATTGATTTTATTTTGATTATCATTGAATTGTCATTATTTGGAATTCAGAATTGTTTTTCCTCTTAAACTGATTGCCACCCGACGCTAAAGAACCCAGTCAACCCTGCCGTTTAACTCAATTTGTGGGAGAAAAAGAATATTTGTGCGAAAGTGAACGCAGCTTGCCAATTTCACCTGCCGCGGCTATGTCCGGCAAACTACTCGAAGATCCAACTATATTAACATATACACTGGTCATTTGGAGGCAATTGCTAACAGATTGTATAATCTTGTTCGTTGCTTTCTGCTGACAAAACAAGCAGTTATTCAGGTATGAAAGATTGATGCAAAATAAACAAATTCAGTATGAAAAAATTTATTCAATTTACTTGATTTTTTGCTTATTTACAAATTAAATGACTTAAGATTTCAGTTTACATTCTCTCTACATAAAACTGTTTCATTAAAACTTTTTTTAAAAAGTTTTTCATATTCTACAAGAAATCAGTTTGCACACAAATTCAACAGCAAAATTGCTTTTTTCATGTTTTTTGGGGGGTGGATATAATTATTACCACTAAACACAAAGTTTCACATTAAATGTTCAATATTGATGAAAATTATTTTCCATTCTCTTATTTTTTCAATTCTAAAAGTATCAAAATGCTTAAAATTCTTTTGATTCGAATTTTTTATTAAGAACGGGAATCTTCAAAAAGTGAGGGTACTTAAATATATATGCAAACACATATATAGAGACAGAGATTCTGAGATTATATAACACTGTGTTATTATCTTTGAATTGCCATGCATTTTTTATATAGTAGAATAGATTCCAGTCGACACGATTTGGAATTCAGAGAAAGTGACAGAAAGTGAGTGAGACACAGAGTGGCAGAAAGTAAGCGAGAAAGAGAGTGAGAAAAGTGAGGAAGAGTGAGAGAATGAGGTAGAGAGGGAGAAAGAGTGAGAGAGAGAAAGTTAGAGAAAGAGAGTGTGAAAGAAAGAGTGGGAGAGAGAAAGTGATCGGTAGATGAAGTGAGAGAAAGTGAACGAGCGAGAGAATGATTAAGTGAAAGTGAGCGAGATAGTGGGAAAGAGAGAGAGAGAGAGTGAGTGAAAATGAGAGCGAGTGAGCGAGAGAGTGTGAGAGAAAGAGAAAGTGAGCAAAAGAAAGAGAGAGAGAAAGAAAATGATAGAGAGAGAAAGTGAGCGCGATAGAGATTGACAGAAAGTGATAGAGAGTGTAAGATAGAGAGAGTGAGAGAGAGTGGATTAGAAAAAGTTAGAGACTGAGACAGTGAGAGACTGAGAGGAAGAGAGAGAGAGAGAGAGAGAGAGAGAGAGAGAGAGAGTGAAACAGTCAATGAACGAAAGAAAACAAACCATAATTCGTTTATTATGCAGATATTAATTCAACAAGGCCGACTGTGAGGATCGAACACAATGCAGCAACAATAAATTCAAATGTCAGTTTGCAAACCATCAATCTATGGCAGGCGCCCAATCTCAGTAGATGAGCAATTTAACTCATGCCTGAAAACGTTTCAAGCAATCTTAAGCAACAAATATATTTTTTTTTATTTATCTTTGCAAAAAATACAAACCATCAGAATCAGTATGGTTCGTTAAAACTTCGTGATTTTGTAAAAGCAAATGTCTATATTGCGCAGCAGCAAGAAACTTCTTATAATTCAATGACATTTTTCTCTTTGTCAGTTGCCAATTTGCGGATACTTTATTTGATGAGGAAAAGAAAACTAATTTCTGGTTTCATTTCACCTGTTTAACTTTTATTTATTTTGCGCACCTCACTAAATAGGAAAATGAATGAGACTAGACGCACGCGATGTATAGGAAGCGGAGGGTGGACAGATGAGACGCCACTTGTAACCAGTCGCTTCAATATTCAAACGAAACTGAAGAAAACAAACTGAGATTATTGCGTGCTGTTCGTTCATGAGCACAAAAGGTACAAAAGATGCATCAGTTAAGTAAATAGGAAATATTTGAAATAAAACGATAGAAAATACCAAAACCATAGTTGAAAGGCATTTTTAAAATGCACAGTATTCAACCGGTGAACGGGCGGCTTTAATCAGATGTAGGTGAACAAAGTATAAAGTCTGTGTTGAACGAGAAAAATAAATCAGAAGTTTGTCAGGAAGAATTCCCAATGTATACATGCACACACACACACACACACACACACACACACACACACACACACACACACACACACACACACACACACACACACACACGCGCGCGCGCATGCGCGTAGGTGTTGAGGAGACACATATACCAGAACAGGTGTAGGTTACAGGGAACAGCTAGTCACTGTAGTCGACGTGTGTACTCCAAAATAAACATTTGAACACATACATACATACACAGACAGACATATATATATATATATATATATATATATATATATATATATATATATATATATTAGACAAACTGATTTCTCCACATTTGTTCAGATTTAGATAGATAGATAGATAGATAGATAGATAGATAGATAGATAGATAGATAGATAAAAAAGGAGTAAAATGATAAGTTGTACTCCGCAACCACGTGCGAGGATCTATTCGTATCGCTTTCATGTATTAACAAGTTACAATATCAATATTTTTGTGCAAGAACTCATTCATACAAATCTAGATAGATACTCATGTGTAATAAAGACGTATAACATTGTAAATTAAATAAATTGCCGCACCTAATATTTAACTATATGTTAATGCTTTGTTATATTGTGCGTGGGTCAGTTTCTGTGTATGTATATGTCATTTAAAAATTTCACGTATTAAAATAAAGTAAGGGGGAAGTAAAAATGAAAGGTACAAAAGAAATAGAAAAAATTGAAGAAAAACTGACAGAAAGAAAAAACAGAAAAAGAAAAAACAGAAAAGAAAAAAGAAAAGGAAAAACAGAAAAGGAAACAACAGAAAAGGAAAAAACAGAAAACTAGTAAAAACCAGAAAACTAATAAAAACCAGAAAACTAATAAAAAACAGAAAAGAAATAACAGAAAAAGAAAAACAGAACAGAAGAACAGAAAAAAATAAATCAAATAACAGGTAAAACAAAGAAAATTATTTTAATTTTTCCTTTTATTTAACTATCAAATTATCTATATTGCTTTCTTTTATTCTTCCCTTTTTATTTCTATGTCTTAGAAAAGGAAGAAAAGAAGGGAGAAAGGAAAAAAAGAAAGGAAAAAGGAAAGAAAGAAAGGAAAAGGAAGCGAAGAAATGGAAAAGGACTGAAAGGAGGAAAGAGTAAAGAAAAAGAAAACTTTGAAGAGTTTGAGTGTTAAATAAAAGGAAAAATGAAAAGAGGCAGGTGAAGAAAAAGAATGAAAAATAAGTTGTATTGTGTGCTTATTGAAAGAAAACATACGATGAAATAATGCATAAAAATTACCGAAAATAAAAGAAGTCGAAACAAAAATCTTTTTTTGTAGTTTTGTGAAATTAATGTAAAGGAATTTTCAAGTCAGTATTAAAAAAAAAAAAGAAATGAAAAGATTCAAACTCTACTTAATCAACCAACGGTCGACAAATTCGTAATAAACTGAGTCTCTTGCATTCAAAGAAAAAGAGAAAGCAAGCGAATTCTTATTTGAAATAAACGTGAAACGGAAATCGCACAAGAAAAAGCGCGCGAATCAAATGAAAGCATATAAATACCTACAAAGATCGGTGGGTGAAGCGTGGTATGCACCGTCCCAATTTCTCGATGTACTCCGAGATTTCTCGAGCGGCATCAGCGGACTGTAGACGCACGGTGTTTTTCTTCCCTAAATATTTTTGGTCAAGTCACGTGACATCCCACACCGAACAGTGAGCATTTCGAGACAAAATCAAAAAATAGAAATCTTCAAATGAATGAATGAATCGGTGTAGAGAAATATTGTCATTTCTTTTGTATTCAACAGAAATACAAATAAACAGACCATCTATTCGTCGCCACTTGCAAGACACAGAAGTAATTGTTTAAGAAGTGGAATTAAAGTATTAAAGAAATTATCTTTCAGAAATGTTATTCAACTGTGAATTTTGTTATATATTATCATATATAACAATTACCAACAAAAATATTTGAAGAGTTTTTCTATATATCAACATATTTTTAATGTCATGTCTCTTAAAGACAGTAGGTGATCATGACTCTCCAAATTGATTTTATTTTTATTATCATTGAATTGTCATTATTTGGAATTCAGAATTGTTTTTTCTCTTAAACTGATTGCCACCCGACGCTAAAGAACCCAGTCAACCCTGCCGTTTAACTCAATTTGTGGGAGAAAAAGAATATTTGTGCGAAAGTGAACGCAGCTTGCCAATTTCACCTGCCGCGGCGATGTCCGGCAAACTACTCGAAGATCCAACTATATTAACATATACACTGGTCATTTGGAGGCAATTGCTAACAGATTGTATAATCTTGTTCGTTGCTTTCTGCTGACAAAACAAGCAGTTATTCAGGTATGAAAGACTGATGCAAAATAAACAAATTCAGTATGAAAAAATTTATTCAATTTACTTAATTTTTTGCTTATTTACAAATTAAATGTCTTAAGATTTCAGCTTACATTATCTCTACATAAAACTGTTTCATTAAAACTTTAAAAAAGTTTTTCAAATTCTACAAGAAATCAGTTTGCACACAAATTTAACAGCAAAATTGCTTTTTTCATGTTTTTTTTTGGGGGGGTGGATATAATTATTACCACTAAACACAAAGTTTCACATTAAATGTTCAATATTGATGAAAATTATTTTCCATTCTCTTATTTTTTCAATTCTAAAAGTATCAAAATGCTTAAAATTCTTTTGATTCGAATTTTTTATTAAGAACGGGAATCTTCAAAAAGTGAGGGTACTTAAATATATATGCAAACACATATATAGAGACAGAGCTTCTGAGATTATATAACACTGTGTGCCTAAAGCTACGAGACAGCATTAAACACTTTGTTGAAAATAGTGCATGTGCAGTTCATAATAAATATTTTTTTAAATATCTTTAGGCATTTAAATTTGTTGATTTTTCGAAAAGGTTGTTTTCCTGAAGGTGTCAGTAGGAAGTATCATCATACAACACTCAGCTTTGAGAATCTGCATGTGTATGGAATAGTAATATAAACGAGAAAACTTTCCTCTTTAAAAAAGATAGGCACACACACACACACACATATATATATATATATATATATATATATATATATATAGATAGATATATATATATATATATATATATAGAGAGAGAGAGAGAGAGAGAGAGAGAAAGGGATCGTAGCATAACTATGAATAAGGTATTTATTGTAAACACCAAATATTTATTTTCCAATACAATCTCCTCCCTTGTCAATGCACCTAATTTTATTTTGAATTGCCGTTATATCCATTTTTTTTACTGTGAAATTTCAGATCAGAATTCAGGTAATAACTATGACTTACTCATCCAGGCACACAAAACACATTATATATATATATATATATATATATATATATATATATATATATATATATATATATATTACATTCCTACATTTCAGTGTGCACTTTTCAAAATAGATTGAATCAAATAGTATTTTAAACAAGAAACTTTACAAAACCGTCATGGCTTATTTAGGACATACTTGATCAACATAAAATATATTGTCTTCTCAGAGCTCTTGATTTTATATCTTTTCTAGTGTTAAAGAACTTCAATAAGACATTTATTATAAAGTATTATTATTTTCATGATTCAATCGTGTTTGTTTCTCTCACTATGTTTATTGCTGTCATAAAATTTGAAATCTATGCCTTAGGTTGATTCGTACTCTACAGCTGGTTCTACAAGAAGCAAACTCGCCACAGATACGCCCACTAAAGTATGCACTAATTTTATTTGAATCTTATAATCACTTACTATAAAGAAATCATTACAATTATTACAAGAAACTTGCCACATAACCACAAATTCGGGATACCAAACCTGCTGACAGACAGGCGCTCCAATGACCATTATATTTATTCTCATCTTACTATCATTATTATTATTTTACACAAAGTGTGATCTATTGAAACACTTTATCGTGGTGACTTAATCAGTAAATCGGTTCTTTATTGTTTGATATTCACTGTGAGTCCTGCAACTGTGACTTTTTAAATATTTGTGCCAGCCATAACCAGCAATCAAGTCTCGTACGCTTACGTTGTAAGTTTCAACATTACTAAATGTTCTTCTATTATGCCCTTGTGGCAGACTAAGTAATAAATATCAGCGAGCCTGCCGTAGAACGACAAGTAGTCATTTATTCTCCTAAAATATTTTGTGCGGTAATAAGTTTATTATATAGGGTGTTTCATTAAAACGGATCAAAGTCAGCAGTAAATAAATCACTGTTATTGGTGAAAATTTATTTATTTCTCTATTGGATCATGTTGTTTATGTCATGGCAATTATGTGTGAAAAATAATATCGCCCAAATGTCCGGCACACCTCCACACAATGGTCAAAATTTTTGATCAGTCCAAGTTATTGGAACACCCTTTATATTGGTTATTGTGTACTTTTGAAAAACATCTTCAGAAATAAAATGGTTTTCAAGATCTATTTAAGGCAAGCGATATTTCAAAGTTTTACTAGTATCAAATCTCAAAAACATTTTATTTGGAGATTTTTATATACAAAATTATACAAATGTTTCCTCAGAGTTAAGTTTGCAAAAATTAGTAAATGTCACGTAAGGTTGTTTATTGTTTAGTAATAAACTAAGCTACTTTTATATTGGCACTTAGCACTAAAAATGATACAAGATTCAGAGACATCAAAGGAAACATTATTGATCTGTGAGTTAAACCAGCTTCCTACGCTAATACTTTGATGATTGAAGTAGTTTACAATGCCCTCACTGAAAACTAAACGTTTTTCATTTTGGCTATTTTATTTTTCGGTTTTACTCCTTGTCAAATAAGACGATCAGCTAAAATATTTTCATTCCAAATATATTCCGTCATTTTTATAAAATGTATAAAATTTCTATAAAATAAAATGTTTTTATCATTATTCTCAATCAAAACACATCTTTTTTCCACATACAATTTTATTTTTAAATATATTATACTCTTAATTACCTGACACCACAAATGGCAATCATGCAAGTTATCGGGCTTGTTCCACTCTCAGGGTAACTTGAATATAGAAATGTGATAATATATATATATTTTGATTCAACTTGAGAGAATATATGTTTTAATCTAAAGTGAAGTGACTAAATTTATGATGTGGTAACAAAATTATGAGTATCTTTCCACTAATCAACTCCATACACAGCTTAAATTTATTAACAAACTAATCACACTGTGGTGACTTTTCATCTTGGGTGATCATCGGGACTAAATTTATTTTCTTGGCTCATTTTCAATTGAGAAAAATAAAACTTTTGTGTTTTCTCTGGCTTTCTTATTCTTATCTAAAATTAGAACAATTAATTTATATAAATGCAATTTGATAACACTTCATTTCACGTTGTTAATCTCGTTAGCGAGACTGTGATAGCGAGACCTTTGCAGCTGTGAGAATAATCGGAATGTAAGATATGTAATTT